AGAGAGAGCCCACGTTTCGATTATTCGCTTATTGGCTCTTATTTATTAAATCTTTTCGATCTTGGTATGTTATGGGTTTTTAAATCAATTGGGAATTTCAACAAACAAAATTTTAATTTGGCAGAAATTAAGTAAGCCAGTTGGTGAAAAGAAGTAATGGGAAATGCTGAAAAATGTGTGAGGATTTAAACAAAAAGAGTCTGATTTTTATTCAACAAAATAGTAATTGAGATTCATGGATTACCTGAAGATAAAGTAATTTCTGCGGTGATGATGGGTTAACAAGGAAAGAATAAAAAAATGGTGAGTCAAGATAATGAAGACGAAGAATACGAAGAAGGCAATACTCATAATGGTTTGGGTATTATTTTCTTCCCTGCAATGGTTATTTTAATATGTATGTATCTTATCTTGTATTAGTGTTAAATCAAAATAAAAACTAATTTCTCTTGTTTCTTTCCTTGTATGCAGTCTCCATATATTTTTATATGGCACATTTAAATATGAATTGAGCACATATTTTCCTTTCCCTGTTAGAACAAGGTTCATCACCTTGTCATCCAAGTGTAGTGGTCAATCTACTTCCAAATTGTATATATACAATTGCAAGTTGTAGCACATTATCGGATTTAATATGTTCCTCCTCTACTAACATGAAAGTGTAAATTCGTTACTATAAGGTTTCTCTCTACAATTGAAAAGCTTTGGAACAGGCTAGATAGAAGCTTTAAAATCTTTATGGAAACAATTTCAAGTTCCTCGCGAACGGGTTTGCAAGCTAGATAAATTATCGACACCTTCCTTCTGACTTGGCAATTTAAAAGAAAATATCATGTTAACTTTTTACTTTGGTATTACCATGAACTCTTGATATAAGACCATTATTTATTATATTTTCAAAGTAACTCCTGCCTATTTCTAGCATTTTTTTGACAAATGGTGTAATCCCAGCAGTAAAGGTCCTTTATGAACTTTGGCTAAGCAATCAAAACTGCAACCTGCTTTTAAAAAATCAATTGCCTTTTCATGTCCATTAGGACCACTTTCTTCTTCATACATATAATGTTTATATTAAAATTATCGCGCGCATTTATCAATATTTATTGTTTACTTTATCAAGCATAAAATCTAAAAGATCATCAGGAAAATAAATCTCACGTAAACCTACGTAGGGTTTAAAACTGACCAGCATTATGCGGAAATGTTAACAGAATTACCAAAATATCGACATAATGCTGGCCAATTCTGAACCCTATGTAGGTTTACGTAAGATTTATTTTCCTGATGATATCAATATTGGCAAATTACGTGACTTTTCAAATGACTTGGTCAAAAATTCATAATAAAATAGAGGTCATTTCGAGATATTTTGATAAAACTGAAATATTTGTATGCTAAAATTAATCTGAAACAATTGCTTTATCTCAACTTTCATAGAGCACATCTTTGACACCGCCTGAGAGTCTTGATGGACCCAAAGTACAAGGTTCAATAATTATACCTCAACAAAATTGTTTTTTCTTGATTGGCCATCATGAGATTCGCTTATATCGCCTTCTTGAGTTGATGTGATATGAGCAATAAGTAAATGGTTCATGAGAATTCGAACCATATACTATTATTACTGATTTGGAATTTTTGAACAAGAAATTGCTTCCACGTTCGTATTACATCTTTTTCTTCATCGCCATCATCGTCACCTTTATTAGTTGTCTTGGCACATCTTTTTAAAAAAATTAGATTACGAATGGCGTAGTAGACTTTATTAATAATAAAACAATGGATGGTAACCTCATGAATCCTAAAAGGTTTAATTTTACATAAAGTTCAATATTTTGAATGATTACTGCATTCCTTTAGAAATGATAGAGTCAGAATTAAATCTTTAATTTAAACCTTTTAGTTGACGATCCGTCTACAGCACCCACTAAGTAAAGCCTTTTTCCTTCAATATGAGAGAGTCGAATGGGAATTTGATTAATTATAAACGTCAATTAAATCTTTTTTAAACTATTTTTTTTTTTTTTTTGGAGTTATTTACTTGATATGGTTCTGAAGAAGATACAAGTTCATCCCACAGATGTTCAATTGGGTTAAGATCTGGGGATTGAGAAAACCAACCAGACAAAATTTTTGTTTTTTTCTTTCCAATCCATTTTTGTACATCTTTTGCAGTATGCACTGGTGCATTATCATCTTGAAATGCATAATCTCCGCCACGAAATTTTCTTCTAATCAATGGTAACAAATTTTTTTCTAGAATTTGTATATAGTCTAAACGATTCATTTTACCCTCCACTTTTACTAATGGACCTAATCCCTTTCCGGAAAAGCATCCCCAAACCATTATACCACCACCACCATGTTTAACTGAAGGGACAATATTTTCAATATTGTAACATTGACCATCAGTACGCCAAACATGTCTTGGTCCATCACTTCCGAAGATTGTAAAGCGTGATTCGTCACTCCAAATCACTTTTCTCCAGTCTTCTACTGTCCAAGACCTTCTTTCTAAACACCACCTTAATCGATTTTCTTTTTATTTTCGTGTTAGAAGTGGTTTAACAGCAGCAGCCCTCGAAAAAATCCCAAGTTCATGCAAACTTCTACGAACAGTTCTTGTGCTAATATCTTTTAAATTTTTTTTGTCATCATCATCTAAACTTTTTGGTCTGCCAGGTCGTAGAGCACTTTTAACATCATCTGAATTTTTATAACGCGTAATTTGATTATGAACTGTACTTTTGGGTATTTTAAGGCATTTGGAGATTGCTCTGATACTTTTACCACTCATATGAAGACCTAATATTTTTCCTCGTCAAATCGGAATTTTTTGGCATTTTTGTAAAAAAAGATGGTGAAAAAATGTAGATCAAGTAGTTAGATAGGCATGCTAGAAGTATGAATTTCAATATATACATTCCTTGGAACATGAACTTTAAGATCATATAGTTTTGTATTTTTATTATGTGGATTTTTGAGAAAATACAAAAACTCATGAATGACATCAATTTTTTAATCGAAATTAGTATTTTTTTATTTTATTTACTGG